CCACTGTGAGTCCCAATCTGTTACAGAAGTGAGATTAGATTTAAGATCGGCTGTCTGTGTTAAGCAACCAAAATGAGAAGATTTTTTTTCAAGACAGGAGTATAAAGTTAAGTCATCAGCAAAAAAAGCTACTTTAGATGTAAGGTTGTTGGGAAGATCAATAATGTAGATAAGAAATAGGACCAGGATAGAACCTTGAGGTACCCCAGAAGTTACTAAAAATAAAGAACAGTGCTGGCCTTCGAGAATAAGTTTTATAAAGCGGGTAAAAAGAAACGATTTAATAATTTCAAAAACTTTCCCTTATACACCATATGAAAGAAGCTTATGGAAAAGACCAAACTGCTAAACTTTGTTGAAACTCTTAGATATGTCAAGAGTTTACTAAGAAAATCTTTATTAATTTAATAAAAACCCAGTGCGTACAGGTACGTTTTGCAAACGTTTTGTGAACGTTTTATGGTCCCTTGAAGGACGCTTGTATAAGTAAAAGATTTAAAAAACGTTCAAATAACGTTTTAATAGGTCTTTTTGTATCATTTAATTTCGTATTTTACAGGATCTTACAAAAACGTTTAAAAAACGTTTTTTTCAAGCCAAAAACGAGGCAATGAAATGTGTTACTTCACTTAAATATGGCGTATTTTTCAAGTTTATCTACAAATTCATACGACTGCAAAGAAACATTTTAAAAGTAAATAATACATTCATAAGTTATATATATATATATATATATATATATATATATATATATATATATATATATATATATATATATATATATATATATATATATATATATATATATATATATATATATATATATATATATATATATATATATATATATATATATATATATATATATATATATATATATATATACATATATATATATATATATATATATATATATATATATATATATATATATATATATATATATATATATATATATATATATATATATATATATATATGTATATATATATATATATATATATATATATATATATATATATATATATATATATATATATATATATATATATATATTTTGTAGGAATTATGTTAATATTTCCAGTAAGAGTGCTCAATATAGCGTTTTATATAATTAGTAGAGCAAATAATATAGTGAAAACTAAATAATTAATAAGATATATTTCAATTACATTACTAAAAGTATCACGCGATAGCGATCATCATATGTAAAAACAATAAGAAGTAACGACAAAAAATAATATACAAAAAATGCTATGGAGTTTCCGCTTTGATGACATTAAAAGTTAGCCCAAGTTTTACTGAGAAAACTTTCAAAGACAGGTGGTATAAACATAAAAACTCCTTTGTTTTCAAAAGTAAGGCCAACTCCACTGAACTTTCGAAATTTGTGTGGGAATGCAAAAATAAATAAGGTATAGAACCTATATTAAAATGGAATATCCTCGATCAAGCGGAGCCATTCAAACCTGGTTGTAAATTTTGCAATTTATGCTTGACAGTAAAATACCACATTATTACGTCGCCATTGAATTTTCTTAACAAACGAACCGAGCCTGCGTCAAAATGCCGCCATGAAAATAAATTTCTAATAAAAAACTTTAATGTCATCAAAGCGGACACTCCATAGCATCTTTTGTATACAACTTTTGTCGTTACTTTTTATTGTTGTTATATTTGATGATCGCTATTGCGTGAAACTTTTAGTTATGTAATTGAAATATATCTTAATAATTATTTAGTTTTCACTATATTATTTGCTCTACTAATTATATAAAACGCTGTATCGAGCACTCTTACTGGAAATATTAATATAATTCCTACAATATTATCGCTCTTTTATGTTGAGCACTTTTTAATATCTTCAGTTATATTAAATAATTACAGTTATGGAAAATCATTATTTCAACTATTCATTAAAGAACGTACCATTACCATCCAAAAAACAATACTTTAAATGCCTAACGGAGAAGGTCGAGTCACTAATAAAATGAATGAGATGGAAAGCTTTGATGCACGAAAATAATCCTATTCAAGAGCCCGCCTATAATTTTGATCTCAAGTCGAGAAAATCTCTACTGCAACATCCCGATTTAGTAAGTTTTGAAAACGATTTATTTAAGTTAATTAAGAACATTTCATTTTCTACAACTCAAAACAATTTTCAAAAGCAACTGCAAACTGACATTGTAAAAATAAAATCTTCAAGTAATGTTTTTGTCTTTGCTGATAAATCTAGAAATCTATATGAGCTAGAACCTATGACCTTCATGTCATAAACTTTATACTGAAAATATTACTAAAACCTATAAAAAATCTGATATCACACAATATAACAACATTAACTAAAATCATAGCAAAAGACTTGGGCATAGATGATAGGGTAGAGCGTCTAGCCATTAATACAGCATTCATTACCTTAACAGATCATAAGGATAATTTCCCCAACAATTTACAGTGCTGATTAATAAATCCAGCTAAACCAGAACTCGGAAAAGTAAGTAAAATTTTGTTAGATGATATCAATAGTAAAGTTAGGAACGCTACCCACGTACACCAATTGCACAGCACAAATGACGTCATAAAATGGTTCAAATCCATAACCGAAAAAAATAAATGTACTTTCATTCAATACGATATTGACGAGTTTAACCCTTCAATTTCGAAACAACTTCTTCAAGATTCTATAAACCATGCAAAATAGTTCACCAAAATTCCTGATAAATCACTGAAAATTATTTACCACACCAGGAAATCTTTAATTTTTTCAGGAAATAATACGTGGATTAAAAAGTCGGCGGACCCTAATTTCGATGTCACCATGGGTAGTTTTGACGGAACCGAATTATGCGAACTAGTTGGCCTCTATATCTTATACACTATTGCCAAAGAATATGATCTTAATACTACCGGTCTGTATAGAGATGATGATCTTTGCTGCTTCTTTAATATCAGTGGTCCTCAATCGGAAAAAATAAAGAAAAATCTAATAAAAATTTTTGAGGACAATTTTAATCTTAACATCACTATCAAACCAAATTTAAAAACCGTAAATTTTCTTGATATCACATTTAACCTTTTTGAGAACTCTTTTAAACCTTAGAGAAAACCAGGAGATATTCCTTTATATATTAACATCAATTCCAATCATCCACCAAGCATTATTAAATCGATACCAAAAATGATCTCTAACCGCATCAGTAATATATCTTCAAGCAAAGAAGCTTTTGATAGAGCCGCACCATTTTATAACAACGCTCTCAATTTTCAATACTCTCAAACGTAGCCAAAACATTTTTGAGTACAATTGATAAATGTTTTCCTTAAGGCCACAAATTTCACAAACTTTTTAATCGAAACAACTTAAAGGTTAGTTATAACTGCCTTCCAAACATCAAGAGTATTGTTACTTCTCATAATAAAAAGATATTATTTCATTCTTATGAAAATGCCAATCAATTATGCAATTGTCGACAAACCACCTTATGCCCACTCAATGGAAAATGCCTCACAAAAAATCTTATTTATATTTGCAACTCAAAAACTCACCAAGAAGAAGAAGGATATTATAACGTTGGGCTTACTGAGAAAACTTTCAAAGACAGGTGGTATAAACATAAAAACTCCTTTGTTTATGAAAGTAAGGCCAACTCCACTGAACTTTTCGAAATTTGTGTGGGAATGCAAAAATAAAGGTATAGAACCTATATTAAAATAGAATATCCTCGATCAAGCGGAGCCATTTAAATCTGGTGGTAAATTTTGCAATACATGCTTGACAGAAAAATACCACATTATTACGTCGCCATTGAATTTACTTAACAAACGAACCGAGCTTGCGTCAAAATGCCGCCATGAAAATAGATTTCTAATAAAAAAACTTTAATGTCATCAAAGCGGACACTCCATAGCATTTTTTGAATATAATTTTTGTCGTTACTTTTTATTGTTGTTACATCTGATGATCGCATCTGATGATTTTGCGTGAAACTTTTAGTTATGTAATTGAAATATATCTTAATAATTATTTAGTTTTCACTATATATATATATATATATATATATATATATATATATATATATATATATATATATATATATATATATATATATATATATATATATATATATATATATATATATATATATATATATATATATATATATATATATATATATATATATTGATATGGTTGAGACAAAAACTAAATTTTTTATAACAAAGATTGTTACTATTTTATTCTGGAGTAACATTATTTGGCTATAAAAGCATGATGAGCATGACTGTATATTAGGTACACAAACACACAAATATTTTTTGTTTATTGGTACTTTATTTTGTTTTTATAAATTAAAAAAGTAAGTAAAATATATATTGAAAAAAATTTTTCTTGACTAAACTATTAGAGAGATGTGTGATACATGCATAAAGTTTATTTTAAAACTTTAAAGTCTTTATGTTCTAAAATCCAAGAAACAGTTTCTTAAAAAAAATTTAATTCCCATATATTTAAACTTTGTTTTATTATATATATATATATATTTATTATATATATATATATATATAAATATATATATATATATATAAATATATATATATATATATCAATATATATATATATATATATATCAATATATATATATATATATATATATATATATATATATATATATATATATATATATATATATATATATATATATATATTAAAGCTAATTTAGTTCTGGCTTTGATTCGTTAAACTTTCAAAATCTTACATGTAGCTGTTGTTAAAAAGTTATATATAACAATTGTGCGTCTACATCTTGAATATGCTGTCCAAGTTTTTTATCCTCAACTTTAAGTGTTATTACTTTATTCCATTCAATGTTTTCATTACAATTTACTTTATACAAAGCTAATGCAGTCTGGTTTAACTTGCCTTCAGTCAAAAATTTTTGGTGTTGTTGAACCCTTGTTCGTATTTGACGTTTTGTTTCACCAACGTATACTTTGGAGCATTAGCACTTAATTAAATAGGTTTCTGGGGTGCTGTTGCATGGTAATTTAGACTTATTTTTAGACGTTAATAGCGTTTTAAGGTTAGCATTTGATTTAAAAACAGTTCTGTAACCAGCTTTTCTGAATATTCTTCTAAGTCTGGGAGATATTATTGGTATCCATGGTAAAGAGATTGTAGAAAGGTTATTAGAGTTTGATGGAATTACATTTTTGTTCGCAAAACGTTTTTTTCGAACCTGATTAGAAATATCTTTAAGCATTATTTCATCGTATCCATTTTCAGTAAACACTTGAATTAAAAAATTTATCTCATCTTTTAAATGGTTTTCGCTGCATATTGAGTATGCTCTGTGTATGTATTCTTTGAATATTGCTTTTAAAATTTTAGGATCATGATTAGAATGAGGTTTGATTTGGATATTAATTATTGCATCCTTCCTGTCAACCTTGAACTCATATTTTCCTTGGGTATTATTAATAATAGTTATATCCAAAAAGTTAAGTATCTTATTTTTGTTTTCAACCTCAATAGTATATTTTAAAGAAAGATGTTGTCTGTTAAGAATTGTTTGGAACTGTTCCGCTTAATTTAAGTTAGAAAACCTTGCATGGCTATTGTCTACATATCTAGGAAAGGATTTAATATCAATTAAAGGAATCATTGTCGTTGCCATTTTTATTGCTTTTTCCTCATGGTATTGTAAATAAGATTCAGCTAAAACAACCATAAAAGACAATCCAATCGGGCCTGAATTCTCTAACTCATGAATCTCACCATTCCACAAGAAATAACAACGAAACAAACAAAGTTCAATTAGTTGTTTTGTTTCAGTTAAAGTAAGTTTGGTTGAGTTTTTGTAAGAAACGCTTTTATTTAATTGATCAAAAAGTATTAAAGTTGCTTCTTTTAATGGTATTGATGGGTATAAGTTCACAATATCAAAGGATACCTGTATTTTATCTTTGTCAATCAACCACGACTTTATCTTGTTAATAAAGTCTTTTGAATTTTTTAACCTAATAGGATTTTCATTTAAGACCGGTTGTATTGTTTTAACCAAGTAATTCAAAATTCCATAACAAGGTGTGCCAATAGTTGATACAACTACTCTCATCGGATAAGATTTTTCTAGTTTATGAGCTTTAATTAGCCTATACAAACGTGGTGGGACAGGATCACTCGGCTATACGCTTTCATATTCATCATTAGAAAGACGTTGCTTTTTGTTAAGTTTTGAAAGGAAAGACTTTATTTTAGCTGCATAACTTAGAGTGGGATCAATACTAATAATTTTTGTTGGACCAATCTGTTCTCTAATTTTTTCAATTGCTTTATCATGTTCTATTCTTACAAATCCTATTCCTTTATCAAATGGATAAATATCAATTTTCTTTTCTTGAATAATTTCTTTAAATGCTTTTTTTTGATCTCTTGATAGATTATGATTAATTTTTTTACCCATTTTAATTTCTCTCAGTACATTTTCACTTAGGTTTTGCGCTTTTTCAATTTCTTTATTATATTCGAGTTTTAAGGCAGACAATTCAGTTGTTGTAATAATGTCCATGTAAGGTGTAGATCTCAAGGAAGGTACAAAGTGTGGACCAAGATTCAGAAGATCGCTTTGATTTTCAGGTATCTTGGTATCACAAAGATTTAAAATCACGTTTTAGGTGTATTTCGTTAATTTCTTATTACTTTAGTTGTAATTGAATTCACTTTGAAGTATTTTGAACTTTTTAATTAATCGTTCTTTAGATTTTATAAACATACTTTCACGAGCTTTTTCAAGTAGGACATTGAATGGAATAAAGTAATAACACTTAAAGTTGAGGATAAAAAATTTGAAAGAAAAGTCCGTGAGGCTATAGAGATACAAAAACATCAACATCTAGATTGTTTCTACGCCAGTTAGCAATTGCTCTACATTATTTATACAAGTAGAAATTTTAGTAGAAATAACTTTGTATATATAATATTGAGCCATGATTTTTTTTTTGCCTAATCAGAAGACTTTACTTAGTAGTAACAATCATATATAAGAAAAAAAAATTAAGAAAGCGATTGTATGTTAAGCAAAAAAATATAAAAATATTTTTTTCACCTTATAAAGAAAAGCAATTATAAATATTGACAAACCTATATCTTGACTAAAAAACTAAAGAAATGTGGACGCGTAAGGGGATTCAGAGTCTTCAAGTTCTAAACTTCTAGAATCAGGTTGTCTTTTTAAATTTAGCTCATATATGTAAGTTTTTTTATAATTTTTCAAACTTAGTGTTATATTTAATATTCTTAACTAAATTGTTCAATGTAAGTTTATATATAAGATTGAAGTGTGCAATTTTTGTATTTTTTTTAATGTCAATTTTAGAACGATAAGTGAAACATATCACAATTGTTTGCACATTAGAGAAGCAAGTCCTGATATTAAAGTGCAAAATTTTGCCAAATGTAACTTTATCTGTTTTTATTCAACATTTTATGCTAAATTAAACCAGATAAATGTTTTTCGAAATATTTAAAAATGTGTATGTATTTTTAACAAGTTGCTAAATAATACATTAGACATAATACATTATAAATAATACATAAAATATTTCTTCAACAAGTTAAAAAAGAATTTCAACAATGCATTACTGCACTTTATTGTTATATGAACTTGTTGATAAACTGTCATCAAGTTTTAAGTCTATAAGTGGAACAAGTATGTTATTAATTGTTGTCTTCTCGTTTTTAAAAGATGTTTATTGTATTTAATTTAATTTTCAGTTTTCCACAACAGTTTTTTATTAATATTTTACTTAGTTCGAACTTTTTTTTTTCTAATAGGTTTTCAATCTGCAATTTATAGGTAAATTTATATACTACGATACCTAGAGTCTTAAAAAGTCTTTATCTTCAGTGGATATCCTGGGGGAAAATACTGAGTTTGAAGATTCATATTTTTATTATGATAAAATAAATGATATAACAAGGTTTAATGAAAGTAAAATAATTTTAAATAATAGAGCAAAGTTTTATTTGTTTTTAAATTCCTGTTTACATTTATGTATAAATTTTTCCTAAATAAAGTAAAATGTGATTAAAGTAAATATATTTTATGACTTTTTAAGGTCTTAGTCAGCTCAGCTCTGGATGAAATAATGTCAAAATGTGTTATACAATTGTTTAAGAAAGCTGGAATTTATGGAAATAAATCATTAAAAAAAAACTTTATTGAGTAGAGTAAACATAGATACTTTTTAAAGTTTTATATTATTCCTTTAATATACTGTATGATATTTTCCATTGCACATTTCTTATTATTATAATTTACATTTTGATGTATTTTTTTGATGCAAGTGAATTGTATGAAAGATTTCTATGGTATTTTTCTTTTTTAGGAACATTAGTGTCATATACAGCAAAATTCGAATTTGTCGATAAGTTGAAAGGCGATTGTTTGAAGAGAATAATAGAATAAATAGCTTTTAAAATAGCAAAAAAAAAAACACTTTATTATGTTTTTTTATGCTTAAATTGTAAATAAACATAAAATATTAAAAATTTTAGTTATTTATCTAGACTTTTAGACCTAGGTCTAAAAGTCTAGATAAATAACTTTAAACCTTCATTTGTGAAAAGGTTTTTTTTTTTTTTTTCTGTAAAACATAAGTTACCCAGCCGGCAAATAACGTTGAAATAACGTTGAAATATCGTTGAAACCTAACGTTGAATTAACGTTGGTTTAACGTTTAGAATGAAAGTTTTTTTCAACGTTGATTTATCAACGTTAAATTAACGTTAGGTTCAAACGTTATATCAACGTTGATTCGACGCAAAAAAACGTTACAATAACGTTGAATTTACGTTGATTTAACGTTTAGAATGAAAGTTTTTTTCAACGTTGATTTATCAACGTTAAATCAATGTTAGATTCAAACGTTATATCAACGTTAATTCGACGCGAAAAAACGTTACAACAACGTTGAATTTACGTTGATACAACGTTTAAAATGATAGTTTTTTTAACGTTGATTTATCAACGTTAAACGACTGTAAAATACTTTTTCACCATCAAAACGTGCTATGTATGTCAAAATGTATATATGTAAGTAAACGTACTATGTGCGTCAAAATATGATCACCATCAAAACGTACTATGCATGTACATTAGTGTTGCTATACATTATCAAGGTATATTATGGATATTAAATCTATTCATAGTCTATACTTAGACTATTTAGAACTTTTTCAGTTTAGTTTAGTTAAAATAGCTAGGTATGATTAAAGAAAGAGATAAAACTTGTTTTATTCAAAAATACATATTCAAATATTACATATATTTACATGTAATTGAATAAATTCTACACAAATTTCTTCTCTTTTCCACCACCTTTTTAAAATAAAGCGTAATTTAGAAAGCCAAACAATGTTCCATTAACCGAGGGTTCTTTTGGTCCATTGAGTACAATATAAGAAGCTGTAAATAAAAAAATATATTAAAAAAAAACAAAAAGGGAAGATTTAAAAAATAAATAATGAATGGAAAAGTGTTACAACTTATGAAGGTATATCTTTTTCAACGCCATATAGATTAGTGTTCTTAATACATATTTTTCCACCTTTGCCCTTCATATCCATGGAGGCCATATAACTTTTCGAAAAAACTCTGAGTTTTTAAAAAATAATATAACTGTTAGTTGGTTATTATTAACTTTTTCAAATATTTAATTTAAATAAAACAACCTTTTTAATATATTAAAAATAAATTAATAATCAAAATATAAAACATTTCTAGCATTGAAAAATAATTTTCGGGGTGGCCACATAAAATTTTTATAAGAAATTTTATTTAGCTATTTATTAATGGTTTAACGTTCATGTTTATACACTTATGGGGCTTTGCAAGGGATCAAATAATGTCATTTGTTATGTTTAATAGCATGCATTTTCTAAAGCATTTTTTTACAATTCCATGCACTTTAAGGCGTTAACCAGTTCTGCAGACCGAGAATGGGTATTTTGAACATTATACATCCATCAAAAATTAAAAAAGGAAGAATTAATGAGGAGCTTTGATCAAATTTTTACCTCTTTAGAGGATAATAGAGGATTTTAGAAGTGGTTTTAAAAAAAGAGGACTTTAGAGGATTTTAGAGGAGCTGCAGACACCCTGATTATAAATGAGGTAACTCCACCAATTAACTGTAATTGATTTATCTGTAAAATAACATGAAGTAAATCTAATATTATGCTTGTGGAGATATATTATATTGTGGAGAACCATCCAAACCACACAAGTGGAAAATTTGCATCCAAGTTTCCACTTGTGTGCAAATCTTGCATCCACTTGTCAACATTCTCATTATCACATTTTTCTTTTGTAGTTGTGAATTTAAAATTTTCGCAATACTGTTTGCTTTCTTTTAGAATTGAAATAGTTATACAAATAGTTATATATTTTGTATCAACAAAATAACTCTTCTTAACACATTATTTAAAAAATAATAATTGTAATATATAGATGTAATACCTGAAGAGAACTTAGTTTTTATTTGTATAAACTTAAGCCAATTCTTCTCTGCATTTTAGTGCAGTCAATGCTTTGGTACCTGGAAGCCGACAAACAGTTTTATCACTAATCCAATCAGATGGAATTACTTCTTCTTGTAAATCTTCATTCCAAACAGCTCCTTTCCGCATATTCGATTTTGAAAAAATTACATGAATTAATATAAAATGAAGAAACCATAATATAAGTGTACTAACAGGCCTAATTAAACTAGCTAAATTTGAACATTTTATAACCATGATACTTGCTAAACAATAATATTAGTAGATATTATAAGCAAAGATAAGATTTTCTTTATTTTATAAATTTATTATATTTTAAACTCATTTTTATTAATTTATTTATTACTCTATTATTCAGCAGAGTTCTGAATATATTATGTTCAAATAACTTAAGGCTCAATAACAAAGACAAATAATGAAAGAATACTAGGTTGCTAAAACATAAACATCTACATAAGATAATTATGGAATATTGAAAAAAAATAGAAATACAAAAAAACAAAAATACTCATTATTAATATAAAATATAATAGTATAATATAAGGTATATTATAA